GAAGGAAGGAAGGAAGGAAGGAAGGAAGGAAGGAAGGAAGGAAGGAAGGAAGGAAGGAAGGAGACAGGGAGGAAGCTGGCTGACCTATATTAAGGCAAAATGTTTTAGAAATTACAACCCACCACGGGAAGTCAAATGCCTCCCTCTTGTCCAGCCTGGCAGAGCCGTGGGGCAACCCCCTCCCCCCGCAGCCCCTTGCCACTGTGTTTAATCAGCTTTCCTGCCTTCTTGCCTAAAAGCTCTGGATTTAGTGATGAGCGTGTGTCTTAATCTCTTTCTGCCTCCTCATTTACCATCATTATTGGTATCCATCTGTCGGAAGATTTTTTCCGTCCGTTTCTCAGGGGTTGACTCATCATCTGGCATCTTCATCACTGATGAGACCATTTTGTAGATAGCCTGGAGAGAAGGAACAGGAGCAGGATGAGAGGTGGAGGAGCTCCAACCAGCCTTCAGAGGCACCCTGCTTTAGCCACCTATTGCCCCGCCCTGGACAGATCTCAGGGGAAAATGCCATTCCAGTGGGTGGGTGAGGCTTCTTTTGCACCAAGGTAGCTGGCAACCTCCACGGCTGGAGATTCTGGCAGCACGGGGAAGGAGGCAATGGTGAACATCTGTATCTTCTGACATTTTGGATCTCGAGAGGCTGCGGTAGAGGTCCAAGTCCTTAACTCTGGGCTTTGGATTCTGCCAAAGGTCCTCAAAACTAGTCTTGTACGAAACAGAGATTGCACTGAATGAACGTGGCACTGCCACGTCCCCACGAGTAACCCTGGGCTTATTTGAGCAATCTGCCTGGCTGTTGGCAGCCCCGCTTTTGCTCCGCAGCTTCTGCGTCTGCTCTACTGACATGGGCAAGAAAGTCCTCCCTAAAACACCAGCCCACTCAACAGGCTTCTCCTTCCCAACAATTTGGTTCGCAGCTGCCACCACTCATCCCTCGTATGAAAACGGAAAACAAGAGAGTAGTTCAAGAGTTCTTCGGTATCATTAAAATACGCTTTTTCTTGCTGTTGTTGCTGTTAAAAATGCCGATGTGCAATGTAGAAAATGAAATGTTCAACACTGATGTTACAGTCCTGCCCTGTACGGCCTTTTGTAGGGCAGCCTTCCCCAATCTGGCTCCTTTGAAGACACTCACAACTAGACCTTCCATCATCCCCAGCCAGCATGGTTGTTGCTATTCTATGGGGAGAAGATGGGGCCATCCCACCTCAAGAGGCCAAACGGGGGAAGGCGCTTTCTGAGTCTGCTGGATCTCATCGCTAGCCTGCCCAGAGAGTTTCCTCCTCCTCTTTTCCGATCCAGGGCCTGGGAAAGACGCATTTACACCAGTCCGTGGCTCGGGGCTCTCCGGCAGCTCAGAACAGATCTGGCGAGGCAGAAGCATCTCTTCTGTAATATTCAGTCAGCCTGTTATTTCCCAGTAGACACTGACTGAATAAATTGGTAATTCACATGCACAACTTCACAGCTGGGCATTTAACAATAGAAGGCGACCTGACCAAGAATGGCAGCAGGGAGCTGGAACAGGCCTGCCCTCCGGGGAAAGCGGTGCCCTGCAGAATAGCCTCAGGACAAGGGCTGGAGCAGCAAAAAATAAACCCTCTGTTCAAATGAGCCAAAATGGAAAATTTCAGAGACACAAACGAGGGGAAAAAGAGGTGTCTGCAGGGCATGCCCCCCCCAAAAATCAAGGTGGCAGTACTCCACCTGTTTTTATGCGTAATGCATCTTGACTTTTCAGACCATGCCCTGCAGATACCCCGGGAGGGAACCAAAACAGCACCGGTGAGGCTTGCCGGCATTATGGGCTTGCAGTGTTGACGAACCTCCAGCAGAGGGCACTACTGGAAAGGGCAGGAGTAAGAGGGCAAGAGGTGGCACCAGGCGCTTCGCCAGCTGGGCTCTCGCTGTCTTTCCTGCTGGTCTTCTGAACCTCAACACAGAACTGCTGAAAGGAAGCAACCCTCCTCCAGTTTGGCTACCGGCTGCTTTTTAATGGCCAGGGACATCTGTGCTACCTTGTGGCAACAAATTCAGGGCACTGATTGTGAACTGGGCAAACTACACTCACAAATGTGCTTAGCCAGGTAGAGATCCAGCAGATGCATTCGCACACACGCTAAACTTGGCTAGAGGTAAAGCCAGTTCTTTCTGATTTAGGGTGTGGTGTGAATCCAGCATGTTGGTTTCTTGTTTAATGTACCATGGAAGTTCAGACAAGTTAATTCAGCTCCCAGGTTAACGCAGCCTCTCTTGTGTCCTTCCTTGGGTGGCCTCAAATTAGGATCCAAATTTGGGACTTCCAAGGAAGGAAAAAACATGACCAGGAAAGAAATGTTTTCCTTCATGTTTTGTTGGAGGCCCCCGAAGGGGTATTGCTCGAGCACCTAGCATTCCTCTGACTCTCTAGGACAGTGTTGTCCAAACTTGGCCACTTTAAGATGAGTGGACTTCAACTCCCAGAATTCCCCAGCCAGCCATGCTGGCCGGGTAATTCTGGGAGTTGAAGTCCACTCTTCTCTATGAGGGCAAGTGAGGACAACACCGGCCTCGGGAGTGCGGGGGAAGGC